CACTGGCCTTGTTTTCACTGATGGTATGGAGCTTTTCCATCTTCTCTTTCCACAGATGTAGTCAATTTGATTTCTATGTGTTCCATCTGGCAAGGTCCATGTGTATAGTCATCTGTTATGCTATCTAAAGAAGGTGTTTGAAATGAACAAATCATTGGTTTTGCAGAATTCTATCATGCATTCTCCAGCATCATTTCTATCACCAAGGCTATATTTTCCAACAAAGAGGTCCTTCGGCTTTGCTCCCAACGTTTGCATTCCAATCACCAGTAATGAAAACCTTCTATGTTATGTAGTTTCCCATTATTGGTATGTTGGAGATACATTGCTGCTTTTACATTCATTTTTACTGCTCCATGTATTATTGTCATCTTCTGTTTAATTGCTTGTGACTAATGGTGACTCCATAGGTACAGAGTATAACATCTCCACAGAATTTTCCAGGCTGTGACCTTTTGGGAGCAGATTTTCTTCCACATATCAGATTGCTTTTGATGTTTGCTATTACCATCATTACTCTTAAATACATTTTCATTCATGATTACTATGGTAAATGTGAGCATGTTTATTCTTAGATATACATGTTGTTGTTATTAAGTGCCTTTGAGTTGGGTCTGACTCATAGACACCCTGTTTAGAGTTTCTGATGAGCAGTTGGTGAATTTGAACTGCTGACCTTGCAGTCCAGTGCATTCTCCCACAGTGTATACTTAAGAGTTTAATAATTAGCTTATAGGAAATGCAATATGTAACTTTATGAGAAAACATCAGTTTTGTTTCCACATTATTTGAATCAAATTTATCTCCCAACACATGTGTATATGTTTACATTGATTTACTTCATATCCGACACTGATATTATCAGATTTTCTAATTGGTGTGCAGTTGTATCATACTGGAGTTTTAATTTGCATTTTCCTGAATATCTTGGATGCTGATTATGTCTTGTATTCCTTTGTTATTTGCACATACTCTACTACAAAGTTCCTGGTAATATTTTTATGTGTTTTTTCAAAACCATGATTTATTGCATCCAATTAATAGTCTGCATATAATCTTTCTGAAGTTTTATACAGTGAAATTATATTCTATAAAGTTATTTCTTGGCATTTTACTCTTTTTAATTTTATGTAAACTACACAAAAAAATCTTTTCATCAAATTTTACATCTTGTTTAATAATGGCCTTAATGCAAAAAATACATTATCCTGTAGGTCTTGTAAAATGTGTAATGGTCTGCATTTTGAAATTAATCTCTTTTTCATGTGGAATTGCTTTTCTTATTATTTGAAGGTTCATTTACCTTTCAAGGTTATCACTTGACCCAGCATTAGTTATTTAAATATGTATGTTTTTATTCCCAATATATATTAAGGTCTTCTGACATTTGTAATCCTTGAAGAAGACCAATTGCCCACTCAAGTAGGATCATAGGAAATTGCTTATTAAAGGATTATTCATAAAGATGGGCAATCAAATCAACATAGTTGGAGTTTAGCATTGAGAATCATAGCAAGGGGAAATAGTTGTTGCTCCTTGATTTAAATAAGGTAGGAGCAGTCAACAGTTATAAAACCTGCTATACTTGTAAGTAAATGTTTCCTGATAGCAATAGAAGCTTTGAGTAGGGAGATACAGAAAACCCATGACTATCCAGCAAGCTGCCAATGTTTTAAAAGCTCATTGACTGCACACAATTTGTTGACCAAAAGTCAAAGGACAAGAGAGCACAATGATCTTCAGATCAGATTAATCTTCAAAGCCATGACAGAGAACAGAGCACATAATAATTTACAGAACATCTTGGTGGGCAAACTATTATTATGTTTCGGTATAGTATGGACCTGTTTTAGTTCTATCATAAACTTATGTATTCTTGCATTATTACCACATTTACTATGTTACAATAACTTTACAAATTCAGAGTAATATTTTCAGTCATCTTGGGCCTTGTTATCCCATATAAATATAGAATTAATAAAATTGTTTTTATCCTTGTTTTATATCCAATGACATGACTATATTTTCATATTATTTCAAATGTCTTTTTATCTAGAAATAAATTTGAATTTTCTACTCAGAGAATCCATGTTTAATTATTTCTTCATTCATGTTCTTACTATACAGCATAGAAGACCTAGGAACATGCTGGAAAAAAAAAAAGTGCAGAGAATGCCTGTTATTGTTGTATTCTTTCACCACACTTATTCAACCTGTATGCTGAGCAAATCATCTGAGAAGCTGGGTTCTATGAAGAAAAATGTGGCATC